CAGGGGGTGCACTGTCCATAACAGTGTATTCGACCAGGCCTTGTAACAAAGGCTGGGCCGAACCCATGTGGCTGATGTGTAGATTAATGCTTGGGTCCCACGCCATACAAGGAAGCCCAACTGGGCAGCAGTTAGGAAGGCTAAGTGAGCACATAAGCTTAATGGGCCTAAAGCCCATTTCGAACTCGACTAATTTAATAAGTTAAATATGGGCGAATTCTTAGATGGATCAACAGATAGGATAGGGTCTTAACCCTATCCACTCAGAGAGTCCAGATCTGAATATGATTCAGATATAGAAACCTTCTAATGAGATTAGGAGAAGGCTGATCTAATCTGCAGATAAGATAAGGGTGAAGAAAGATTTCTGCAATCCCTATGAAAATCTTTCTTGCCGCCTCCGTCCTGCAGCCGCCAGACATCCAGTTCGATCTCCAACTCTATAGGAGAATTGATAGGAAGCTGTACTCACGTGCCATCCTGCTGTTTCTTGCGAATGACAGAGTTCTTGGAGAAGAACTCTACTCCATCCTACACTGCGCCATCTTCAGTGGGAGCAGTCTTTGGATCCTTCCTTGGGTGTGAACACCTTCATTGAGAGATAATATTTCTCTGTATCAGGTATACCTCCCTCCTACTCCTTTTGGTTCAGATCTGGTTCAGTCTATGGTTCAAGATTGATCCTTGAAAATATGATTTTCTAAATAGGGAATTCAATTCCCAGTTGAAGATGAGAGAAATTTTTTTTTTGAAATTCGCCCACCTTATTTTGCAAGATTTGGGCGTCCATACGATGGATCTCTCATCCCTTCAGAAATATTCGAAAATTGTATAGAACTTGTTTGATTTAATGCTAAAACCAGATTTTGCACCCAAAAGGAGTTTGTTTTCTAATGAAAATGACATAAAGATTTGTACATTTATGTTTTCTGATGAAATGGAAAATCTCTTGTGGTTTTGCTTCAACTATGTTGATTTTCTGAATTGAGAATTTGTTTGCTGCCTAGGCCATCATATGTTTGATGTATTTATATCCAAGAGATGAGTTTGTTGGAAAATGGGGTCACTATAACTTTGGATGAGAAGCTCTGAGGCGCGTTTCAAAACATGTCTTTAGAACGTTATTTGCCCCCACTCGGTTTCATCGAGTTTGTTGTTGGGTTACAGGCAAATCCGTTCACAGGATACAATAGAGCTTTGGGCGAGAATCTGTAACTAACAAAGTTGAAGAATCTCCGAAGAAACCTTTTGTGAGATGTAGCAAACCGGACTGAGAGAGAGAGAGAAAGTGGATTTCGAAATTGTGTGTTTTTGAAGTCTGATTCATGCTCCTTAAATAGTTTATGAAGAGGTATGAAGAAAAGGTAGGTGTTGGTTTAGAGAAGGCACCTTGAATAGTCACAATTTTAAACATTATGATTGTTTAAAAAGTAGTTAACAGTTAATGATTGTTAACTTTGAATTGTGCTTCTTGATCACACCCGATCGAATCGTGACCATTGATCTCATCAATGGTGATCAACGGTCAGCATCGCACCAAAACCAAAGCCGCCCTTCGCGAGCCACGTGCGAAGTGCGAGTAAAGCGCGCCGCACACACGCGTGCATACACGTGTGCACACGTTGCGTGATATCAAACCCCATACTCTCCTCTACTATTTCTACGGAGTGTAAATCAACTCCTATTAAAATACTAAAAACAAAGCTTATAATTTTTTAATGTGGGATAAGTTCAAAACTGAGTTTCGTAAGAGAAAAGCTAATTTTTCAATAAAATGTGCAAGTGCAGTTTCTCATGTAATTGACCAATCAAACCCATTGAATTTAATATCTTATGAGATTAAAATCCAACAGAGTCTGGTTAGAACAGAACTAGAAATCTAGGATGAATAGCTTAGGATTGATGATATTATTCTCAAACTGAATTTATACGGGCTATATGAATTCATGTTTTCATTTGAGTAGTATTACATCAAATATCATGAGCAATGAAATTGGCGTTTCAAGTTTTAATAATTCATGTCAGCATTTTCCTTGGCATGTAAATTGAAGCAGAGACTAGTTCCCCAATCCTACTCATGATGAGAGTGGAATTAGCATTTATCAAATACTAGTTGAGGGGTACTACATTTGCATGTGCAAGATGAGAGAGCAGATAGTGGAGAGAAGAAAAGAAAATGAACTAAAGTGTTTGATTGTCTGGCGTGAAAATGAAAAGAAAATGCAAGTATCAATATTATATAGTAAAGACTAATGAGGTATTTAAGGTTGTTAAAATTTTAGTCATGGATATTCCATTAAGTATGCATTATTAATGACTATGCAAATATAG